TTTTTTTTTTTTTTTTTTTTTTTTTTTTTCCCTCCGGTCCTGTTTTGTTTTAAAGTAGGGGTAACTTCAATAGAGTCACAGAAACGAGTTGTAATTGCACCATGGGGCAAGATACAGTTTGCAATTGCATTTCAGACACCCTACCTGGCCAGAAAGCTGGGTTGTATACATTGCCCGAACTGAAATTCCAAACTGTATCTTGGCCCTAACTGCAATAATTATAACTCATTTTTGTGACTCCCGCCTAGTTTCCCCTTTAAGTTTTAACGACAGACCAAGAACGAAGAGGGATGAAGAATCTCTTAGAGCCATATCTGAAGCCTGTCAAACTCCAACTCAAGCACATACTCACACTAGTAAAGGTCACTGTGACTGAAGGTGCATACACACGCTAGAACTTTTTTGAAGCTTTTCGACTGAATTCGTCCTGCATTATGACCGGATTCATTTGTCCTGGATTACGACCGGATTCATTCCAGAGTGTCCCAGTGTATGCCATAAGACAACAACAAGGATGGCTCAGCCATATCTGAACCCTCCGGAGCTCAAGCACATCCTCCAGCGGTGGAGGTATCTCTAATTACTGTGTGCATAGTACTGTGTATCCAAACTAGGAATCATTTGAGATGATTTGACTACCTTTGTCCTGAATTATGGACAGATTCATTCCAGAATACCCTAAGACTGGTTTGTCAACCAGGATAGAGGCCTTGCATAAGGGCCTTAAAAAAAAAAAAAAAAAAAAAAAAAACAAGACTGCTCAAGCGCATTTCTGATTTATCCCATTCGGTAAACAGAGGATTTTTTTTATTATTCTTTCTGAGCTCCCTTTTGGAAAAAAAAAAAAAAAGAGGAAACTATTTAGTTCTCCAGCTCATGCTCCTGATTGCTGACAGGGACAGTCATCTGAAAACCAGACTGTAAAAAAAAAAAAAAAAAAAAAAAAAAAAAAAAAAAAAAAAAAAACAGACTGCGCGACCAGTGGCTGCAGGAGTTTTTAACCGAACTGACTTTTCGTGAAATTTGAAATATTAAATATTTTGCTTTTGCTCTCGCGACAAAATTGAACAAGGATTTTTTTGCCTCTTTTTGTATGTTCTTTTTTTTTCAAATTTGGTGCCGGAAACTTAGAGAAGTTAGAGTAAAAGGGTTGGGTGTTTTAGCAGCTCCAAGGGATAATAGAGCCCCGGAACAGAAACTGAAACTGCCGCAGCCCCAGGGAACAGCAATTACGAACTTCTTAATCTGTAACATCTGTCACAAGGGACGCTGGACCCGGTTTCCAGCAGGTGCTGCTCCCCACCAATAGATGGAGCAGCCCAACAGACAAGCCCTCAATTTTAGCGGTTCTCGTACCACCGCTGAGATAGAGGGATGTCACAAGGGTTTTCACAAAAA